CATCTAAACGCTCCCCATGCCATCAGCTAAGGTCTTTGTTCTGATTGCACTGCAGTTCAGCATCTCCCTCTGGACAAGTATGTTTTCTTCACTCGGTCATGTGTGTTCTGGATAGCACTCCCAGCCAAACTTTCTGAATACAAATCTTTGTCTCAGAGTCGTTTCTGGGGAACTCATCTAAGACAACTCCAGGAATAATTTGAGATACAATAGGCTATTTTAACAGAAATAACATAGACTTTGGGAAGCATAAAAGTGCATATGACTCAGTCATTAGAAGTACTGACTTGTGGTCTCTATGGTAACAATGTGGAATTTCAAGATTAGTGCTGATTTACTAAACCAATTTAGATGCCACTGACAAATAACTGGAAAGGAGAGAAATTGTACCAGGGCTGTGATTCTTCTGCTGTCAGGCTTTGCCAAACCCATCAATCAGTTTCAGTCACCAAGTGTATAGTCTATCTATACTTAAGACTATATCAGGAAATTATGCTGTGAAAAAAAAAACAAAAACAAAAACAGAAAACAAATGAACAACAGTAACAGAAAACAAACCTCAAGGGCTTAAAAAGTAACAATGACTTATTTTTTGTTGATGCTCCATGTTCATATCAAGTCAGAAGAGAAGGTATTTCTGCTCATAGTCACTATGGAAGCTAGTCAGTGGGGCAGCTACCACCTAGAATCTTGCAAATCATTGCCAGAGGAAATAAAAAGTTTGGGAGGGTTTAGATCTATGACTTAATGTTACACCCAAAGTGATATACATCATTTATACTCAGAATTTGCTACAACTATTCATCACAAGGGGCTCAGAAAATGCAATCTCAAAATGTGCCTGGTGGAGCAGGAGTTAGGAGAATTGGAATATTTGGCAGGTTACACTAGTAAAGACTTGGCGGAAATCTTGGAACCTATAAAATGAAATAAAAAAAGAAAAATCCATTTAAACTGGTAGTTGAATTCCTAATTTTCAATTAAGTAAAAAGTAGATTAGTAATAAGTAATCGTTGATCCTTTAGTATCTTTAAAATTGTATTTGCAATCTTTGGAGTTTATTTTGTAAACATGTGTTAGGTGCCTTCGGTTTACAAAGTACTCTGACAGTTATTCCTAGGGCACAACTATGAAGAATCCCTGGACTATTTCTTTAAAGGTGTTTATATCTACTTAGAGATAAAGGCATTCAAAATATGTAGGGCAGAGAACAAATAGAGGAGGGCAGTAGGAGCAACATTTAGTGAATGTAAAAGAGAGAATTGTTAAGTGCCAAATTTCCATGCTTGAAGCTTGCAGAGAGGACAAAGTTTTGTCTTCTGCAAATATACCTAAAAATACTCTTTTGATCTGAGCTGTACAGAAGGGGTAGATAAGAAAAATAAATATTACATTATTGCTTTTAAATCCATTTTTGATTTCCATTTTCCCTTTGCCATTCCAGACCCTTCTGTTTACTTTTTTTTGTGGTTAGAATGAATGATTATAAACTGAGAGCCAATATTGCTACTCCTTGAGATAAGAAATCATTATTTTTTGGTATTCTGTATATTCCATTCCACGTTAATGAGGATTTATCATGATAATTATAATAAACTGCACCTCTAATTAATGCGTCTTACAGCTTATAAAGCAAGTTTCCATATGCTGTTACTGTTATTTCCAAAACTTGCTAGTGCAATAGGTTCAGAAGGTCTTAATAAAATTATTCCCATATCACAGAGAAATTGAGGCTGAGAGAATTAAAATAATTTAATTATTGTTATAACTATTTATAGGTGTGAACAAACCATCCTAAAACAATGACTTAAAACAATAACTAATTTTTTTTTTTTTTTTTTTTTCCTCACCTGAGGGTTCCCTGGGCTTAGCTAGTCAATCCTTGTTTGGAGTCTCTCATGCAGTTATGATCATTGATGGCTGGGGCTGAGGGCTCCTCAAAGGCTTTATTCACATGTTTGGTGCCTGGTCTGAAACAACACAAACATCTGGGATCTAGAATAGTTGGGGATCCTCAGACATAACACCCTCTGTTTTCTCTCCATGGTATCTCTGCAGAGCAACTTCAGGGTAGCTGGGCTTTGTGTATGTGAACCAAAGGCTCCCAGAATGAATGTCCCAAGAGGGACCAGCAGAAATCTCATGTCCTTTGCTCCCTAGCTTCATAAGTTACACATCACACAGCCCCCTTTCCCACCATATTCCTCTGTTTGTTGAAGCAGTAGCAAAGATCCACCTAGTTTCAAAAGTGGGGAATGGAGATTTCGACTTTTCTGGGAAGAGTGTCAAAAATGTTGCCAACCTGTCAAACAACCACAAGTATATTTACACGGTAAATAATAAAATAGAAATAGTCTCTGTGCTGCAAGCTGGGTTCCCCAGAGAGTAGGTGCCAGGATAGTGTGTAGTGAGTGGGAATTTATAAAAGAGTGCCCTTGGCACCAACACTTGTGAATGGGAGGCTAGCAGCAGGACTGAGCAGAAGCTGAGTTGTGAGAAAGGCCTAATGACTGCCAGCCCCACTAGGCTAGACTGCAGTTTCCTGCAGAGTGGTCCCAAGTTGGGCTTAGATGCTGCAGCATAAATATTCCCACATAGACCAATAGATCAGTAATTGAATGTGGGCCACCCTGGAAAGGAGCATGACCTTGAGAGAAGTGGCTCTCTGTGGCTGAAGCAATCTCTGAAGGTGCTGACAGCTGAAGATTGTCTGCCAATAGGACTTCCAGCAGTTGAAGCAACAAGTTATTCATTGAAGGAGAATTATCACACTTTGGCTTCACACCTAGTAACCTCTCATTATACCACACTGTCTCCCCTAAGAAAATATCACTTATCTGTAGACATTGACTAAATATTAATTGTGAAATAAATTGTACAGTGAAAATAACATGGGGACACGTTATTGGGATGCATCACTTATATGCCAATATTGGACACGTCTGTGGGAGTACACAAGAGATGGGTTATATGAACTATGAATCAGTCCAGGCAGCCACTGGATGCCAGCTTTATTTTTACTCCAGGAGGCACTACCAATGCTCCTACCTCTAATTCAGTGCTTGTTGCAGTGCAGACACATGACTGTCCATCAAGCTCCTGAATGCCACTGCCCAGTCAACATTTCCACTAATATCTTGTCAGCATCTCAAAATCTACTTGTCCCAAACTGAACACTTGATTTTGGAACTCTTATGAAACTCTTATGCTTTTACATTAAATGGCATAACCATTCACCAAACCCTAGAAGTCATCCTTGATTCCTTTCTTTCACATCCTGGAGGTGAATATCTAAAATTACTTTATTTCCTCACGTACTTATATTTTCTCTCCTCCTCCTAAATTTTAGCTCCATGAGAGTAGAAAATTTATTTGCTTACCTAGTGTTGTCCAACACCTAGAAAAATTTAGGACCATGATTTGCAAAGAATAGGTGCTTAGTAGACATATAGTGAATGAATCTTTGTGGAAATTAACTAATTGTTATTAACCAATTCAGGATTCTACAGGCACTAACCTCAACTGTTCTATACAGATTCTGCTTCAAGAAGCTACGTCTCTGTGCCTTTGGCATTGGTTCGATTTCTACCGGCACTATTTACTGAATACAAGCTCTTCGTGATTTTCTTTTGTCACAACCCTTTTTGCTAGTCTGATGAAGCTTTCCTAGCTGCTGGACCCCAAACCTACTTAAAGGTTTTGGCTTTACAATGGCACCATTTCCAGTAGCCTAAGATGGCATGAACCAGCAATACTGTTGCCAAGATACAAGCATGCCTGCACTTGTAAAGGATATGTTAAGTTGTAAAAATACTTACTTTACAGCAGACTTATTTGAGTCTCAAAACATGACTTATCTAGTGAAACAGACCTTGGAATTGACACAAAGCCCCTTTATCCTCCCTGGTCTTATACACAATTATAGCTGGGGGCTAGGATGGATACACATAAAAGCTTAATGTTGAAAGAGGTCAGTTTCTGTTCATACCAATTCCTTCATCCCTGAATAAAATTCTCTCGAAGAAATCCTATTGTCCCTTTCTATAATCTGTCTCCAGTTTATGAGATTATGTTTATATGTCTTAACTCTAAATAAAAATATAAATAGAGTTGGACTAAGCAGGTACAGATAGAACTAAACTGCATGCAGTTATCTGGTTCAGAATAGACTGCTTCAGGACCAACTTATTTCTGAATAAGAAATTATTCAATTATAAGAATACTTTTATTTTAATGTACATGAGTTTTAAGAATTCTAAAATTTTAAGAGCATGTTATTTCTATGTTTGTACCAAAAAAGTACTTGAATTCTCACTTAGGAGTATTAGATACTAGGTAAAAATATTGCCAAATAGTTTTCAGTTCTCTTCACTTCCAGTCACATGCTAACATTGTATTTCTTGGCCCTGTTGTTGTTGCGTCAGTCCATGTGACTAATAAGTTTGTTAGTAAAAGTGGCATGTGTCACTTCGAAGTGGAACATTTAATTGCTGATGTGAAATGGTCAGTTCTCCATCCCTCTGAGGCAATAACTAGTAGTGTTTGAGATGGTGCCTTCTGCATCGGCCTGGGTCGCCGAGAATTTACAGTATGTGGTTGCTCCCTGCTGATACATGGTGGAAAAACACAAATGAGAAATAAACCTTGTTTGTGTTAAGCCCCCTAAGACTTTGGATAAGTGTTACTAAAATATAAACTGCCATTTTTTAGCTGTGTAAACTGGGACAGATCATGTTACCTTTTGGAACCTCAGTTTCCTAATTTTAAACTGGCAGTAAATATTTAGGTCATTGGGTTTCTCTGAGATTTTGAGAAAACTATATTTGAAAGGTGTTATAAAAATTCTAAAATTCTTTACAGAGGCTAGAATGTATATCAATATGTACAATTCATTTTTTAATTTTTACATTCACCTAGTTTTCTCTCATGACATTAATTTTAATTTTTTTCAGACTTTTGGACAAGTATGTCTATGCATGGAAAAAAAATGAATTTTTTTTTCACCTCAAATGAATTCCCAGGGATGCTTCAAATCTCCATGAGAGGTATCTATTCTTTGCACATCACTAAATATTTATCTGATTGTTTCCTACCTCCCTCTTTTTGTCATTTCCTCCCTCCCTTATTTCTTTTATTCCTTCCATCCTCCTCTCTCCCTCCAACCCTATCTTCAACAAATATTCACTTATTCTGCCAAGTACTGGGAAAACAAAGACAATTGGACAGAGCCTCTGATCTCAGGATACAGACATATACTTGGAAAAGTACAACCTAATTGTTTCAGGTTTATGACAAATGTATGTTCAAACTACAGTGGGTCAAAAAGATAGAAGTGCTCAATTTTCAGTAGATAATTTTAAAAGTCTTAGTTCAGAAACAGAAACTACTTGTGTCTGTACGGATGGTTAAATTTTTTTCTTGGGGTGATAATGGAGTAGTGGAGATAAAAAGAGAAAACTGGATACCAGGTCACTGGAGCAGTGTAGGCAAAAACAGATTTGTGGCCTAATTCATGGCACAATGTAATTTGTTTAATCAGTCTAAGTTGGACACCCAAAGATTCACCTTTGTATCCAAATATAAAGGGTATTTAGTTTCAGATATACTAAATAATTCATAAAGGGGAGAACACATCCCTTGATTGACTTCTCTTTTAGCAACTTTCTAATTATAAGAGTTTTACAATTCATATTGGGAATTAATAAAATATAGAAAAGTATATTTTAAAAAAACTTCCAGAGAGGCAGTGATAACAATCCAGCATATTTACTCCTAAAAAAAAAATACGCTTGCATATAATATATATTCCTAATATTTATACACAATTTAAAATATATACTTAATGCTATATTTCTATACTTTGTCATTTTTTTCTAATTTATAATGCATATGTGAATCTAATTGCTGAAGACCAAGGTTTTTTTGAGTTTGTGATATAAATGCTTCCATTAAGCTGATTCTCTGTTCCAGAACATGACAATTTTTGCATGTTTATGCCCAGTAGGATGCCAATTCCTGGCATAAAATTATGGTTAACATAACTTAAGTTTCTGATTGACCTGATAGATCCACTTTCTTTAAAAGGGGAGAGAAACACAAAATTATTCCTATACAATTCACATTTTAAAATATAAATTAGAGTGTATATATGTGTGTGCATATATGTATGTATATGGTACAACAGAATGACTATAAAATGTAAAAATACATGTTTCCTGTTATAATGAAGCACAAACTATGTTTTCACTTATTTGAACCAAATAATTTAGCTATGCTTCACTAAATATTGATTACTGGAAGACAATGTTATCATGTATTATGACATCTAATCTTAAAAACAGCACTACTATTTTCTCCTATTTATGGGGAAAATGATGCCCAGGTAAATTAATTAACCTGCCCAAGGGCACACATCTAATAAATACTCAAATTGAATTTAAACCCAAAAGAACTGTAGTAATTATTATGGTATCAAATAAATACTGCAATTAATTTATTTATTGATTCTCCTCTTAATGGACACAATTGGAAAAATAGGCAATTATATTTTAATAGTAGCTGAATTTACAGTGGATTTTTATTTTATTCTTTTTTTTTTTTTTTTTTTTTGAGACGGAGTCTCGCTCTGTCACCCAGACTGGAGTGCAGTGGTTTTTTTTTAGCTCATTGCAAGCTCTGCCTCCCGGGTTTATGCCATTCTCCTGCCTCAGCCTCCCGAGTAGCTGGGACTACAGGCGCCCGCCACCTCGCCCGGCTAGTTTTTTTGTATTTTTAGTAGAGACGGGGTTTCACCATATTAGCCAGGATAGTTTTTTTCTCCTGACCTTGTGATCTGCCCGTCTCAGCCTCCCAAAGTGCTGGGATTACAGGCTTGAGCCACCGTGCCCGGCCTATTTTATTCTTTACTGTTATAATCAGAAAAAAATATGATAGTGGTTCTACCATTTATTAGAAGCATGGCTCTGGGCAAGTAACTTAACCTCTTTATATTTTATTTTTCACTTTTGTTTCATTTGGGAATTGACAGTATTGAGCAACTTTTTGAGAGTCCATTCCTACTTTGAATTTCTGTGGCTGTAAGTCTCGACAGGCGAAACATAGTATTTCCCTGGAGAGAATATTGCATGCAGAAGACCTACATAATGTTGAGACTAAAGTTCATGTTTATATAACCTTGTTTCTAGGAATACATTACAAAATCCAATTTTGTCTAGCAAATACTGAAAAAGTCTCAGAGGAAAAACTAGAGAAACTAAAGGGAGTCATTTTGGATAAATTGTATAGTACAAAGAACATTTTGCTAAGAAGCAAGAGCAGGTTGCATTCTGTTTTGCTGCTTTCTGGCTGTGTTGAGAAAATACATTTCCTCCCTGATTCCCAGTTACCTCTCTTGTAAATAAATGAAGCATCTGAGAATTGGAGAGGTTATTGTCTTGCTAACATATCATGAGAACTTGAGGCTATATGGAAGATCGGAATCAGGGCAGTAGGCACCAATAAGCTTATCGTTTTTGGTAGGATTGGGAAAGGGGGACAAAAACTGCTAGATCCTGAGCTGTAACACATCGAAAACCAAAGATGTGTTGTTCCAAAGACAAGATGAGCTTCTCGATGTATAGGCTTTCCAGGAGAATTCAGTGGTGGAGGGGTAAAAATGTTTAACTGTTGATTCCCAGGCTACAAAATATTGAGAGCCTTGCCCTGTGAGATCTGTATGCCTATTTACAGAGGACTTACTTGGATACAGTCAGTCTTTACCTAATCAAACATTCCCCTGATACAGCAACAGAGAGAGGTACCCAGTCTAACATTCCTGATTTCTACTTTCCACAAAACAAATGCCTTCTTTGCTGCAAACCATGCAGAAAGAAATGATGTGATTTCTTCACTATTGTATAATCATGACCCATAGTGTTGATGAGGAGAGAGTCTAGCAGTTACCATGGATGAGTACTATACTGAGGTCTGAATCCAGAGGAAAAAAGAATCACAGTGGGTTATAGGTGTCATTATATTATCACAAGAAAATACATAACCTCTTTTAGAAAGAAAAATATGTAACCTTCATACATAGTGAACATTGGTAATATCTGTTAAACTTGAAAATAAATATTCCCTACAACTCAGCAGTTCCTTTTCTAGTAGAGAAACTCTTCTATGTGCACAAAAGGATACTATGTTCAAGGCTGTTTATGGCAGAATTATTTGAAAAAGAGAATAATTGAAAATATTTGAAGTGCCCATCAACAGAAGAATAAATAAATTGTGTTGATATAGTCATAAAATGCTGTAAAAATCATACAGTAAAAATAAACTAGAGCAACACATATCTTAGTAGGAATGAAGCGCAGATTTCTAATGTTGAATAAAACAAAGCAATTTGAAAATAATACCTGTATTAAGATAGCATTTAAATCGTTAAAAATTCTGCAAAATCATAATATAGATTTTTTTACACATGAATAAAAACATAGAAATATTAGAAAACTTAACTATAAATGATAAATTTGGAATTAGTGAGAATAGATTACCATGGAGTGGGAGCAAAGATAATGGAAATAAAGGATTTTATAGAGTATTGTAACTGTAACTATGGCAAGTGTGGAATAATATGACAATATGATAAACATAGGGGCTAGACACATAATTTTCATTATAGTACTCTATATTGTTATCTGAGTTTTTTGAACTACTTTATAATTTTAAAACATTGATTTAAAAAAGTTTAATGTTGTATATAGCATATTCAAGCTTGAGTGTTTTTTAAAAATATATATAAAAATTGCCATGAGTAAAAGATAAAATACCAATCAAATGTTGAAAACACTAAAGCACAACCTCGGGGTTCTACAGAAACATATGAATTTGTACTAGGTTAGTTAGAGAAGTTCTGTGTTACATTATCATAGGCGATTATATTCCCTCATTGAATGAACTGAATGAGAGAAATTGTATCCATTTTTATATGACTCAAATCCAAACTCTGAGTTTTACTGCGTGTAAAACACAGGTATATTCAATTTGCTCTAATTTATCCATTTCTAAAATGGACATTTGGTTTAGGCAGATTATTATTTAAAGGCTCTTTGAAAAGAAAAGGTGGCTTCTAAAACTGTAAAAATCAGCACATTTGTTTGGCTACTAAACACTATACGAGTTTTACTTCAGCATTACTTGCTGAATGCATTCTCACCATGTCTGTCTAAGACACACCGAGGCTGTGAAGTTCAAAGGTGTTATGTTCCTATAGATTTCTATTACAGTAAAAATCCTTGAAGCATGAGAACTGTGTAGCTATACTGATTTTTTTCCAGCACGTGATGCAGAATTTATGTACTTCATTTTACTCCCATATTTTTTTATCCATTGCCAAAAATAATAGGCCCTGCACAAATTATATGTTCGGTATGATCAGATACCTCCTTTTAAAATTTCCACTTTTCATATGACACAAAATTATAAATTGAGGAACTGAGAACTTTGAAGAAAAATGGTTAAATTTGTCTTGGCTTTTAGCATTGGTATTTATTTTCTATATATTTTCTAGTACTTGAATTAATTAATTATAATTTTCAGGAAGTAATGTACCTGTTTGATTGCATATTTGTATTAAAATGTTTTTCAAAATCTGTTTTCCAAGAGTATTCCAAAAGATGTATTTCTATAATCCATTATTTTGGCATTGCTTATAGACCTACTATATGTAAGACATGAGGGACAAAGATATGTAAGGGATATAAAATTTAGCATATATTGAGTATAGATTATATTCAAAACATTTGCTAAGGATTTTGTAATAAAATTTCCTATTGATTTTATAACCCTGAAATGTAGATACTCCATTATGCTGATTTTGAAAGCTTCTCCTATCAAGAGGTGGAGTCTATTCTCCTACCACTTGAATTTGAGCTGCCCTCGTGATTAGAGAATGTGAAGGAAGAAGTGAGTCAGTCTCTGTCTCTCTCTCTTTGCTTAGGCCCTAAGAGGTCTTCCACTTGTTTTCTCTTGAAACTCTGTCACTTCCATGTGGAAGAAACTAAGGCCA